ACCAATTGAGAACTTTGGTCTAATTCCCTGAGATCTGGATCTTTGGGGTTTACTGCCAGGGCCGAGGTCTGGCAGTACTGCTCTAGCAGGTCCAGGCTCTGCTGTAGGCCATGTGCTGCGGGTGACAGCAGGCACAGGTCATTTGCAAAAAGAAGGCATTTAACCTCTGAATTGTAGAGACTAGCACCAGGGGCTGAGGATTTTTCTAGAATAGTGGCCAATTCGTTGATGTAAATATTGAAGAGTGCAGGGCTCAGATTGCAACCCTGGCGAAGGCCCCACCCCTGATAAAAAAATTATGTTATTTTCTTGCCAATTTTGATACTGCACGTTTTGCCAGTATACATTAATTTAATTATGTAATATGTTTTACCCCCTACACCACTTTCAATATCTTTGTAGAACAGTCCTGTATGCCAAATGGAATCAAATGCTTTTTGGAAGTCGATAAAGCAAGCATACATTTTTGTATTATTTTGGTGGACATGTTTATCGATCAGGGTGTGTAGGGTGTAAATATGATCGGTCGTGCGATGTTTTGGTATAAATCCAATTTGGCTTTTACTCAAGACATTGTGCTTATTAAGGAAGTTTAGAACTCTTACATTTATAATACTACAGAAAACTTTCCCCAGGTTACTGTTCACACAAATTCCTCTGTAATTGTTAGGGTCAAATTTGTCTCCGTTCTTAAAGATTGGGGTTATGAGTCCTTGATTCCAGATGTCAGGGAAATAACCTACACTCAGGATCAAATTAAACCGTTTTAATATAGCCAATTTGACATTTTGCACTAGTGAATTTGAGCATCTCATTTAGGATGCCATCAGGTCCGCATGCTTTTTTAAATTTGAGTGCCTGAAGTGTCTTATAGAGCTCCTGGTCAGTAATTGGGGAGTCCAATGGATTTCGATTGTCCTTTATAGATTTTTCTAATCCATTGAACTTCTCATGAATTTGGCATTGTTCTGCGTTTGTGTCAATTTGTTTTGATTTTTTAGGTTTTTCCAATTTTGCCAGAAGTTGTTTGTGTTTATGGATCCTCAATCAGTGTCAGCTGCTTGCTGTTGTACTGTGCTTTATTGGTTCTGAGTCTACGTTTATAGAGTTTTAAAGTCTCACAGTAATGAAGGAGTAATTCACCATTATTTGGGTCTCTCTCTCTCTCTCTCTCTCTCTCTCTCTCTCTCTCTCTCTCTCTCTCTCTCTCTCTCTCTCTCTCTCTCTCTCTCTCTCTCTCTCTCTCTCTCTCCCTCTCTCTCTCTCTCTCTCTCCTCCTCTGTGTTTCGCTATTGCTCTCTCTCTCAGTAGGGATTAGACAGTCCAGAGCAGTAGGGGGTGGAGGTAATGGTCAGAGTCTGGACCCCCTATTGTGACTCTCCTAACCTCTCCTCTCCTCTCCTCTCCTCTCCTCTCCTCTCCTCTCCTCTCCTCTCCTCTCCTCTCCTCTCCTCCATTTTTTCTTATCTCTCCTCTATTCTCCTCTCCACACTTCACTTTTATTTTCCTCTCCTCTATTCTCACTCCAATCATCTACTCTTGATTCAACTAATCAAGGTCATTATGATGAGAAATGAGCTGAATTACGTGTTTGCTACAGTAAGATAGAACGAAAGCATCTTGGCTGAATCTCAACCCCTAAGCCCTTTATCGAGTGGCCACTTGCTAATGTGTTCGATAGTGATCACTCGAGTGCAGGTGTTTTGGCCAAAATGAGCATTGAGATTATCTATACTTGACATCCTAAACTGTCACTTATCAATATTCCAAAATTCTAAATCCATTCGTGAGCTTCCGCGAGCCGTCCACGTAACAACAACATTCTGTTCTCGAGAGCAACAAATCACCTCACTCTTTTCAATCCCAGCATAACGCAGGATGATCCCTGACCTGGATCACAGAAATCTTTGCGGAGGTTTTCCCCTTCAAGCTGTTGCCCTTCTGAAGAACAGGAATGTAAGTAGCTAGTCCAGCTATACCGACAAACCGGTTAGCTAATATTTCGTTGAAATAGTAACTCATTTGTTATATAGCTGTGATATAACAGGTATTAGAAACATTTAGGTGTTGCTGTTGCCAGAACTGCTGGCTAATAATTTGCTATCTAGGTGAGCTAGCCACCTGTGTATCAGCTCCCCTAGGTAAGCTAGCCACCTGTGTAGTATTTACCTTTCATCATATAAGTAGAAAATAGAAGGACTGTAGTGTCTCAATTTAAAATAATTTTAATAAAAGCACAACTTTGGTCTGTAATGTAGAGTGAGGAGTCTATTAAATTCACTACCCAAAATATAAATAGCCTACATTTATTATTTCTAATTCATAATTGTAATTAATTCCAATTTTTTTTTATAGATTATTAATCTATTAAAATGAGTATGTGTGCATTAAGTCAGCTATTCTGTCAATGAAATGTTTTTTCCCCCCTCTTTATTTTTTTTTTTTCTTATTTCAGGCAGTTCGTGTGTCAGCGTTCCGATCCTGAGGCTCTACGGTGACGCAGAGCGGTACTGTACCTCAGGCCTGAGTTTCGCCTCACGAGGCAGTCCATGATGGGGCTCATGAGACTGCTTTAACAGGAAAAAGACTGTGGGGACAGCACCTTGAGGTCTTGATCTTTTGTATACTGGCTATAGGGTAGTAGCCAGCACCTTCAGCGTCCCGAAAACCAACCGTATGCAGAACAGTTCACAAGATTGGGCGAAAGATTGTCAGGCTCGTCGGGAACAGAGGAGGACCAAGGCGCAGCGTTGCAGGCAAACATACTCTTTATTTAGCGATATATTGACAAAATAAACAAAACGATAACGTGACAGTTCACGGTCTAACACAAACCGACTAGAAACAAGATCCCACAACTACTGTGGGAAAACAGCCTGTTTAAATGTGGTTCCCAATCAGAGACAACCAGCCACAGCTGACACTCGTTGCCTCTGATTGAGAACCACACTGGCCAACATAGAAATGAACCAACTAGAACTACAACACAAATCTACACACCCTGGCTCAACATAACAGTGTCCCCAGAGCCAGGGCGTGACAGTACCCCCCCCTAAAGGCGCGGACTCCGACCGCGCCAACCAAATACCACAGGGGAGGGACCGGGTGGGCACTCCGCCTAGGCGGCGGATCCGGCTCCGGACCTGATCCCCGCTCCCTCTCCAACCCCCCAAAGTACCACTGGTCCGGTCTGGCCCCGCTGGCCGGAGCTGGACTGCACACTGGTGGAGCGGATTGCTCTAGCTCCGGCATGAAGCATCTGACCGGTGCCGGACCAGGCACCGGTGGAACAGGCACGGGACGTGCCGGACTGACAACGCACACCACTGGCCTGGTGTGGGGAACAGGCACGGGCCGTGCCGGACTGACGACGCACACCACTGGCTTGGTGTGGGGAGCAGGAGCGGGCCGGACCGGGCTGGCGACACGCACCATTGGCTTGGTGTGGGGAACAGGCACGGGCCGTGCCGGACTGACGACGCACACCACTGGCTTGGTGTGGGGAGCAGGAGCGGACCGGACCGGGCTGGCGACGCACACCACTGGCTTGGTGTGGGGAACAGGCACGGGCCGTGCCGGACTGACGACGCACACCACTGGCTTGGTGTGGGGAGCAGGAGCGGGCCGGACCGGGCTGGCGACGCGCACCATAGGCTCGGTGCGGGGAGCAGGAACAGGCCGGGCCGGGCTGGCGACGCGCACCATAGGCTCGGTGCGGGGAGGAGGAACAGGCCGGACCGTACTGGGGACACACACCACTGGCCCTATGCAGGGATCAGGAACGGGCCGGACCGGACTGGTAACACACCCCAGTACCTCTCGCCGTGCCTCTACACCTTCCTTCCCCTCTTCGACCAGTGGCCCCCGTAACCTGGCGGCCTCCTCTGCCAACCCGCTGGGCTGCTCTGTCGCGGTCTCCTGCTGCCCCGTCGTCCACGGCGTTAGCCCCCCCCTAAAAATTTTATGGGCTTCACTCCTACCCGTGGACCAGGTCTCCATACTCTTTGCCAGCCTTTCGCCCTTCTGCTTCCACGTCAAGGAAGACGCGAAGGAGATCCGCTAGAGATCTCTCAGGCGGTGGCTCCTGGACTTGCTGCTTGGTCCAGTCTTGGTGGGATCTTCTGTCAGGCTCGTCGGGAACAGAGGAGGACCAAGGCGCAGCGTTGCAGGCAAACATACTCTTTATTTAGCGATATATTGACAAAATAAACAAAACGATAACGTGACAGTTCACGGTCTAACACAAACCGACTAGAAACAAGATCCCACAACTACTGTGGGAAAACAGCCTGTTTAAATGTGGTTCCCAATCAGAGACAACCAACCACAGCTGACACTCGTTGCCTCTGATTGAGAACCACACTGGCCAACATAGAAATGAACCAACTAGAACTACAACACAAATCTATACACCCTGGCTCAACATAACAGTGTCCCCAGAGCCAGGGCGTGACAAAGATCAGGAACAGTCTGAAGAAGGTCATCGACTTCCCTGCTCCAGAAGATGTGGAGGACATCGGGCTGGGATTTGGAAGGTTGGCGAGGAGTGATGTGTTCAGAAAGACAGTCGGGGCCATCGATGGTTGCCACATACGCATCAAGCCACCAGCACTGGACAAGCAGGACTACTTTAATTACAAGCAGTTCTCTCCCTCTCTCCTTTCTCTCCCTCCCTCTCCCTCCCTCTTCATAAATAGCTGTCTTTAAAAAAGTATCCGTTTTTATGTGTAATCTCTTCTACCTATTTAGATGATCAGTTCGTTGTTATTTATTTTATTACCACCAATCAGTTCCTTGTCATTTTATCACCTGAGTGTTTATCACCAATCAGTTCCTTGTCATTTTATCACCTGAGTGTTTATCACCAATCAGTTCCTTGTCATTTTATCACCTGGGTGTTTATCACCAATCAGTTCCTTGTCATTTTATCACCTGGGTGTTTATCACCAATCGTTTGTGCAATACTTGATAAGTAAGTCTTATTTTCTTGTGTGTTGATATCACTTGTTCTCATCTCTCAAAAATATAAAAAGAAATAAATCTCTCAATTTGCCCATCAGCTGCTCTGTCCCTGTTTTCCTCTTCACTGTCTCCTTATATCTCTTCTCCTCCCTCCCTGCCTTAAAATAATCAAATAGCCAATTGCTGCTCTGCCTCTTTCTTGGCCCTGCTCTACCCTGGCTGGTCCCCTGGCTGGTCCCCTGGCTGGTCCCCTGGCTGGTTCCCTCACTGGTCCCCTGGCTGGTTCCCTCACTGGTCCCCTGGCTGGTTCCCTGGCTGGTCCCCTGGCTGGTTCCCTCACTGGTCCCCTGGCTGGTTCCCTCACTGGTCCCCTGGCTGGTTCCCTCACTGGTACCCTGGCTGGTCCCCTGGCTGGTTCCCTCACTGGTCCCCTGGCTGGGGCCCCTGGCTGGTTCCCTCACTGGTCCCCTGGCTGGTTCCCTCACTGGTCTCCTGGCTGGTTCCCTCACTGGTCCCCTGGCTGGTTCCCTCACTGGTCCCCTGGCTGGTCCCCTGGCTGGTCCCCTGGCTGGTCCCCTGGCTGGTACCCTGGCTGGTTCCCTCTCTTCGCGCTGATATTTCTTCTGCACAGGCTGATATTTCTTCAGTCCCGGGGGAGCTGCTCGTCCACGCACAGTTTAGAGGGAACATTACTTGTTGCTCTCAAGAACCACTGGTCAACACAGGGTCTTTGTTGTTACTGTGTTACGATGTCAAAGAAACACATAATCTACTGGTACAATAAACCAGTATATTCAGAGACACATCATTTTACCAATACCTTGTACATTACGGATCATAAGGGTGGGTAACATAGCAAACATCATAAACATACAGTATACAGTATGATTTGATTGATTGATTTGTCCAGTGTCTTGCACTCAGTCATGTCCAGCCCACATGATACTAAGACAATATCTTTAATTTTTATTCACAGCATGTGAGAGAACATTCATAAACGTACTATATCAAACACTAAAAACTAGGATCTATTGTAAGAAGATAAAACAACATTTTCATGCAGGCCTCCAATTCACAAAAAAATTAACACAATATCAATATTAATATAATAACAATAAAACAATTTTTCCTTTAAAATGTGGTTCATTTAGGTTGGCTGGAATAGAACAATGTACAAAATGGCCGCCAGACAGAATCGCGTGTTGAGTCCATGTTGAAACTCTCATTTTTCAAGTTTCTCTAGCGTTAGCATGCACTGTCTCGCATGGAGTTGGTAAACAGCTAATGACCAACTGTTCATTTTGACAGCTTCCATGTTGATTTTTTACAATTTGTACATTTTGTTAAACACTTCCAACAATGCAACAGTTCCAACTTTTTTTTTTTTTATGTATACTTTAACCATTTAGCAGGCGTTCTTACATGTTTACATTTTAGTCATTTAGCAGACGCTCTTATCCAGAGCGACTTACAGTTAGTGAGTGCATACATTTTCATACTGGCCCCCCCCGTGGGAAAGGAACTCACAACCCTGGCGTTGCAAGCGCCATGCTCTACCAACTGAGCTTCAGGGGACTGTTCTTAAACATGATCCAAAGGAACATTGTTAACAGAGCTTTGTCTCAGTACAGTGTTGAATGTGAAGTGATATTCTGCGAGTCAGGGTGATGATATCTCTGTGTACAGATGTAGGATCTTAATTTGAGCCAGTCTCCTATAGCAGGAAAATAATCCAGCAGCAACAGGAAATGTGAAATATTATGTGGACATATTATATTAATGGACAATTAATGGACATTTTTGTATTGGTTAATGCATTTTTCATAAGGTAAAATCAAGTCTGAAATTTGGAAATTACAAACTTTAGAAGCCTTTCTAAACATCAAATACACTTCAAGAAAGTTCTGCAACAGGGTGATCAAATTAAGATCTTACATCTGTAGCTGTTTGCCTAGACTCATGCCGGGCCATTGGTCTACTCAACAGGGTGTCTCATACTCCAACAATGTTCTATCTCAAACCCAGTTCTGAGCATAAGTATTGGTCTAATTCACACAGAAGTGTTTTCATAGTCAAACATGCATTGGGTCCTTTATGCAGCACCATGTCGATGATGTCACGTGCCTTGTCTGCCCTCTCAGCTATCACCTTTACTGAGTCTTTTTCGTAATCATTGATCACTTTCTTATGCAGGAGCCCGTCCAGGAGACCTTTAATAGTAGGCTCTGACACTTTTTCCACAAACTTACACCGCACGGAACGCAGCTGATCCACAGCACGGACCTCCAGCCCACCGTTACACCGCACGGAACGCAGCTGCTCCACAGCACGGTCCTCCAGCCCACCGACCAACACAATATCTGGGAGGCAGGGTAAAGTAAGAGATACATTTTGCCAAACATGTATTTGTGATGGAAGATCCGTTCTACGTTTACGCGTAGATGATCCACACTATAGATACACGTATTACAGCCACAGAGTAAGTTACGTAATAAGGTGACTGGATGGGTTTGAATAGCAACTTACCTCTTAGTGGCACTTGACGTGTCCATACCTCCTCATCCCCTCTTTTCAGAAGTCTAATCTCCACATCCTCTGTGCTTGCCTCCAGGAACACCTGGAAGGTGGGGTGGTAGTTGGGGCCGTACTCACGGCGAAACTTTTCCACCTGAAACACATGTAAAGTCAACCTCATTTCTCCACCAGCTGGCATTCAGTACACGCATCAGCACAGCTCACGTTTCAAAAATCACACACCATTTTTATTTGGCAACTTGGTGTGACAATGTCACATTCACATGATCCAGAACACGTCTGCTAAAAAAAACGTGGAAAAATATGATTTATTTTACCAATGGTTGTATCTTATTTTTCTCAGCAGAATCACAGCAGAGTTTGTATGTTTCCCCACATGTGAGCGGGCAGTTGGAGGGGATCTGAATGTATTTGCAGTCCCGCTGTTCCCTCTCCACCTGCAACAGAATAAGAGCTGATCATCAATAAGGCTCCTTCGATTATCAGAGGAGAGCCAACTGACAAATTTTACCGCCTAAAGTGATTTTCAGATTCATTTTAGCAACAAAAGTGTCCTTATACTGAATGTAAGGTTTTTTGCACCTCAGTGACGGGCACATTCACTGGAAGTAAATGTACGTTCAGAGTTGGCTTCCGGAGTTGTGGTTTGTGGAACAGCAGCACTTGCCCTTCCACCGAGGATGAAAAGTAGGAGGAGACCAGGCCCCATAAGGAGAGGTCTGTGATGTCCACCACCGCATGTGAGTAAGTCACCCTCACTGGCTGCAAAACTTCCACACTGTCACCAGTAACATGGGCCACAGATAAGGAATCAATGCCTTTCCCTGCAATAGAGAAAACCTTCATTGGTGTACTGTGCTGATTGTGTAACAGGGTGAAGATTGCCCTACTAGGTAGCCATTTTGAGTGTCACCATTGTGCGCTGGGATTTGTGTGTTTCCAATGACTTCAAGGCTAATGAGGTGATTAAGCACACCTGTGCCCCTCCCTTTAAGCATTTGATGACATGTCAAATGTTTTCAGAGGGATGGACATGAGTGATAACCCTTATCAGATATCCTTAACATGAAAAAGGTGAACCTTTTTGGCATTTATTGCAACGGTTGATAAACAGCACTACAGGAGTGGATAAGACCTCGGGAAGGATCGCTATCATCCTAGCTGCAGCTGAACCATTCTTGGGAGTGAGGGATGTAACAGGTGAAGGGCTGCATGAAGTACTGGCAGGAGCAATCGGATCCTCTCAGGTCCACAGATCTGTGTAGGGCTCCGAGTAAAGTTGATTGATTGAGGATAATGTTTTTGTTTTGTATGTAGTTTTTTCGGGCGTTAGAGGACGTTAAAAGTTTGAGTTTTTCCCATTTCTGTTTTGAGTTTCCCCCTTTTTGTTTTCTGAGTACATAAATACAGGTACAACTTTTCAGAATGTAGCCCTAAAACCCCACCAATGAAGAAGATGAAGCGTCTCTGGGTGCTTGAATCCCAGCCAGATCAGGGAGAGGAGAGGTAGACTGCTGGACTCCAAGCTACCATGCTGTCAAAGGTGTTTTAGAGTATTGTTTGTGTAAAGCTTATTAAAGTAAAGTGTTGTTTGTTTCTGGTTGTAGCATCTTGGATCCCAACGAGGTAAAGTGCAACCCTATTTATTGAACTGTTTGTATTTTATTCTGTGTTTTAAGTGGTAGGTTTAAACACAGAATTGCCTGAATCCTCAGTCAATTTGTTGCCCCACTTTGTAGCTTGTGTGGCTTCTCACTGTGTGCTGTGCTGCTTGCTGTACCTTGACTGCTACCTACTGAACTAAGTCCTAGATCCAATCAGATCAAGCGTTAACCGGGCGATAGCGGATGTTTTGGAGGTGCCAGGAGGTGGAACTGCATTGGAGCTGACAAATCGGTGAGCACTTGGGTTAGAAGTTCAGAACAAAATAATTAGGATTTCTATCAGCTTAATCAAGGTGTAGATTACATCGCACATTCCAGTGTTAGAACTTGTAAACAAGGCTGCGTGGGATTTCTCTTAATGCGACTCCGTGCTGCCAATGGCAATGCCCGCTTTAGGTACTGTATAATGCCGGGAGCCACTTGTGGATTTGACAGCTGTAAAGCAGCTCCACCTCCGACACCGTTAAAACATCAGCTATGTGGAGCGGATCTGATCTAAGCGGATCTGATCTAAGCGGATCTGTTTGAACAGGGCCCTAAATTGTGTGCTGCGACGTTCCTATTTAATCCGTGTGGACTTAAACCCTACAACTTAAACAACTTTAAGAATGCTGTTTGATGGACTTCTGTAGTAGTCAAGTCGTTTGTTTCAATTAGAGCTTTCATATTTACCCCTTTCTTGACGCAACTGTAACACCTTAATTACTTAGTAATTAACAATATTTTTGTAATTCTGTCTAGCGTGACCTGTTTCCTTACCATGTACCCAGTTGAAGTCTTTAATGACTCTGCCCTATCCCAAGAATATGTGGGTGTTACAATTGTCTATTTGGACGGATGTTGGCATTAGAACTTTGATGAAGAAGTAGCGTAAAACTCACCAGAGGTGATCTCACAGTGTGGGAGGTGTAACTGACGGACAGCTCCCTGAAGACACTCAATGCTGAACAGGGGTCCGGCAGGAGTCCGGCCCGTGGAGTGCAGGAGACTGTCGTCCCATTGGACAGTCCTGTAAAGCACCTCCCCTTCCCCCTCCATCTGAAACACCAGCCCTGTCAACCTGCACTGGAACAGGCCTGCATGGGGGCACTGGAGCCTGGGGGCCACAGGACAGTGGTGGCACTCATTTAAATAAACATGTTAGATGGTTCCTCACCCAGAAAGTAGTCTATGGGCCAGGAGAAACTATAATCCATTGTTCGGTTTTCTTTCTCTTTAAATTAAATGATGTCGCTTTGACTATGGCGACATAATATATATGAACGCTGTTAATTTGAAGGCACAGAGATACACTGTGACGAGATCCTGAGGCCCATTGTCGTGCCATTCATCCGCCAGCCATTACCTCATGTTTCAGCATGATAATGCACGGCCCTATGTCGCAAGGATCTGTATACAATTCCTGGAAACTGAAAATGTCCCAGTTCTTCCATGGCCTGCATACTCACCAGACATGTCACCCATTGAGCATGTTTGGGATGCTCTGGTGTGACCAACAGATGCATATCTGTATTCCCAGTTGTGGAATCCATAGACTAGGGCCAAATACATTTAAATTGACTGATTTCCTTATATGAACTGTAACTCAGTAAAATATATTTGAAATTGTTGCATTTTGCGTTTATATTTTTGTCCAGTGTACTTTAATACACATATGAGTGAATTTGTCCTAATACTAATACTAATACAAAAAGTGCTGTAATTTCTGACAGTCTGCACTTGAACCTCATAGTCATTGTATCATTTCAAATCCAAAGCGCTGGAGTACAGAGCCGAAACAACAACAACAAAATTCACTGTCCCAATACTTTTGGAGCTCGCTGTTTTTTTGTTGTATTTTTTTATGATACTGCCTTTATTGTTGTAGTTGTAGAATTAATTGCTTGTTATGTGTTCCCTGCTGCATTTTGTTTGTGTGAAGCTCCCTTGCAAAAGAGACATGGTCTCAATGGGAAAAGGTTAAATAAAGTATGAAACAAAAAGAAAAAAAAGAATGCACTCACTAACTGTAAGTCGCTCTGGATAAGATCGTCTGCTAAAATGACTAAAATGTAAAAAATGTAAATAAAATAGCTACTACAGACATCAGCTAAGTTCAACCACCAGCTAACAATCAATGGAAGTAACAAGTAGCGGTGTGGATGTTTTTTTAATGGTCAAACCACCTTCATTAACATCAAACCAAATATGGAGTTGATTTGAGTTGATTTGGCCATGACGTTTTGAACATTTGCGCACATGCCATATCACTCCAATTGAGTGGCTGTTTAGACAAAACTGAACCATGGATTACAGTTTCTCCTGCCTTATAGACTTCTGTCAGGGTGAGGAACCGTCTAACGTCAGGTTGTAAAATTCTAACCTTCTCCTTTAAGTATGTGAAAAATGTATTCATGGATAATAAATGGTAACCTGTAATGGGTTTTGGTCCATTGTGGATAGATTGTTTTCCATTCAGGTTCTGTCAAAAGAGTTGGGGTCTGGAATAGAAAAAGGACACATATCAGCCAACATTTTAAGGCCTAAATTCTCTCTACTAAGCAGTGATGATGTTGTCAACAACAGGCTGCACTACCTACAATACTTACCTCTGCTTGTACTCCTGAGTGGCGCAGTGGTCTAAGGCACTGCATCGCAGTGCTAACTGTGCCACTAGAGATCCTGGTTCGAATCCAGGCTCTGTCGCAGCTGCCCGCGACCGGGAGGCTCATGGGCGGCGCACATTTGGCCCAGCATTGTCCAACAGAGGGGATGTTGCTCTGTTGATAGAGCATGGTGTTTGCAACGCCAGGGTTGTGGGTTTGATTCCCACGGGGGCCAGTATATATAAAAAAATATGTGTTCACTAACTGTAAGTTGCTCTGGATAAGAGCGTTGACAAAAATGTTAATGTTTGGAATAAGAGACTTTCCACACCTATGTTTTAGACTGTCATTGTATCCATGGTTACAACTTTTATTAATCAAACTCTTATACAATTTATACAAAACACAACGACGCAGAGTCAGCCATTGGATAGAGAGCAGTTTGATTGTCTTTAAGACCAACTATCTGGCCATGGTGTTCATGCTGTATTATTGGTCCCTACATGGGTCTGGTTACTCTGCAGGGCTCTCCAACCCTGTTCCTGGAGAGCTACCCTCCTGTAGGTTTTCGCTCCAACCCCGGTTGTAACTGACCTGATTCAGCTTATCAACAAGCAAATTATTAGAATCAGGTGCGCTAGATTAGGGTTGGAGTGAAAACCTACAGGACGGTAGCTCTCCACGAACAGAGTTGGAGTGAAAACCTACAGGACGGTAGCTCTCCAGGAACAGGGTTGGAGTGAAAACCTACAGGATGGTAGCTCTCCAGGAACAGGGTTGGAGTGAAAACCTACAGGATGGTAGCTCTCCAGAACAGGGTTGGAGTGAAAACCTACAGGATGGTAGCTCTGCAGGAACAGGGTTGGAGTGAAAACCTACAGGAGGGTAACTCTCCAGAACAGGGTTGGAGAGCCCTGCTCTAAGGGCTCTATTCAATCCGTATGGTGGAAGTTATGCGTTATAGTGTGACTGAAATGTAACGGTAATTTCTGATTGAGCCGACGTATGCAGCGTGTACTGTGAATGCAGTCTCCGACAATGCGAGAACATTGACTTTAACGGATTGAATTGAGCCCTAAAGGTTTGCTAAAGGCCTTCCTCTGACAAACAAATTGTTTATAGCAATGGCTTGATCTCCCTGGAGTTTAGGCTTAGATTTTGTAAAGCACTTTGAGAAAAAAATAACTTGAGAAAAAAATGTATTGTTTGATTGATTGTGGAGTGCAGCACGGGTGGTCTATTCCATTTCAATTCAGTCAATTCAGGAAGTAAATGAACATTAAATGAACATTTTTCAATGCAATAGGCCTAATACTATTTACAAATGTTAGCTCCTCCCACATCCTGTTCCACTTGATATGTGCGGTTTGACTTCCGGTCAGTGTTTTCGCTAAATATTGATCAAATTTGTACCAAAGTATAAAAAATAACTGTTGCTTCTAGATTGATAACCTTTGATCATGAAGTTACTCGCCCCATGTCAAAAACATGGATTCAGGAGGCAGGATTATAAGGGCTCTATTTGACATCACATAGAGCCTCTTATTTCAATACACCAATGGTGACGTCTCATTCTCTTACCTCATTTAAATAAGTACCACCTTGTAACCAACATGGCAGAAAGTGTGTTCGCAGAGGGGCGTGTTTTACATAGCTAGGTAGCTAGATTACTGGTGTCGGGTGACACTGCAGGGTGTCAGCAAATATAATTACAGGTTTCTCCTATTCATGGCAAAGATACTTATAGGTTTTCACACACTGTTGCTGGTATTTTGGCCCATTCCTCCATGCAGATCTCCTCTAGAGCAGTGATGTTTTGGGGCTGTCGCTGGGCAACACAGACTTTCAACTCCCTCCAAAGATTTTCTATGGGGTTGAGATCTGGAGACTGGCTAGGCCACTCCAGGATCTTGAAATGCTTCTTACGAAGCCACTCCTTCGTTGCCCGGGCGGTGTGTTTTTTTGGATCATTGTCATGCTGAAAGACCCAGCCACGTTTCATCTTCAATGCCCTTGCTGATGGAAGGACGTTTTCACTCAAAATCTCACGATACATGGCCCCATTCATTCTTTCCTTTACACGGATCAGTCGTCCTGGTCCCTTTGCAGAAAAACAGCCCCAAAGCATGATGTTTCCACCCCCATGCTTCACAGTAGGTATGGTGTTCTTTGGATGCAACTCAGCATTCTTTGTCCTCCAAACACGACGAGGAGCCTCTTAAAGAAGAAGTTACAGGTCTGTGAGAGCCAGAAATCTTGCTTGTTTGTAGGTGACTATATACTTATTTTCCACCATAATTTGCAAATAAATTCATTAAAAATCCTACAATGTGATTTTCTGGATTTTTTTCCTCAATTTGTCTGTCATAGTTGACGTGTACCTATTAATTAAATTACAGGCCTCTCTCATCTTTTTAAGTGGGAGAACTTGCACAATTGGTGGCTGACTAAATACTTTTTTCCCCCACTGTATATACAGTGGGGAGAACAAGTATTTGATACACTGCCGATTTTGCAGGTTTTCCTACTTACAAAGCATGTAGAGGTCTGTAATTTTTATCATAGGTACACTTCAACTGTGAGAGACGGAATCTAAAACAAAAATCCAGAAAATCACATTGTATGATTTTTAAGTAATTAATTTGCATTTTATTGCATGACATAAGTATTTGATACATCAGAAAAGCAGAACTTAATACTTGGTACATAAACCTTTTTAAGTGGGAGAACTTGCACAATTTGTGGCTGACTAAATACTTTTTTTCCCCACTGTATATGACTGGCTTAAATAAAGCCTGTCTCTAATAAGTGCCTATTGTGTTCAGTGATTTAAGCAAATAAAGGCCCAGGCTATTAATTGAAGTTTTACAATATTCAAACACCATCAAATAACCTATAATTTCTGTTCTCAGAGTGTTAATAAAACCTCCCAGGATAACTTATAAGGAACCAGAGTAAAACGTTCTCAGAACCAAGACCTCAGAAAAAAAATGGTAGACCTCCACAAGTCTGGTTCATCCTTGGGAGCAGTTTCCAAACGCCTGAAGGTACCACATTCATCTGTACAAACAATAGTACGCAAGTATAAACACCATGGGACCACGTAGCCGTCATACCGCTCAGGAAGGAGACGCGTTCTGTCTCCTAGAGATGAACATACTTTGGTGCGAAAAGTGCAAATCAATCCCAGAACAATTGCAAAGGACCTTGTGAAGATGCTGGAGGAAACAGGTACAAAAGTATCTATATCCACAGTATAACGAGTCCTATATCGACATAACATGAAAGGCCGATCAGCAAGGAAGAAGCCACTGCTCCAAAACCGCCATAAAAAAGCCAGACTACGGTTTGCAACTGCACATGGGGACAAAGATCGTACTTTTTTGAGCAATGTCCTCTGGTCTGATGAAACAAAAATAGAACTGTTTGGCCATAATGACCATCGTTATGTTTGGAGGAAAAAGGGGGTTGCTTGCAAGCCGAAGAACACCATCCCAACTGTGAAGGACGGGGGTGGCAGCATCATGCTGTGGGGGTGCTTTGCTGCAGGAGGGACTGGTGCGCTTCACAAAATAGATGGCATCATGAGGAAGGAAAATTATGTGGATATTTTGAAGCAACATCTCAAGACATCAGTCAGGAAGTTAAAGCTTGGTCGCAAATGGGTCTTCCAAATGGACAAAGACCCCAAGCATACTTCCAAAGTTGTGGCAAAATGGCTTAAGGACAACAAAGTCAAGGTATTGGAGTGGCCACAAAGCCCTGACCTCAATCCTATAGAAGATTTGTGGGCAGAACTGAAAAGGCGTGTGCGAGCAAGGAGGCCTACAAACCTGACTCAGTTACACCAGCTCTGTCAGGAGGAATGGTCCAAAACTCACCCAACTTATTGTGGGAAGCTTGTGGAAAGCTACCCGAAACGTTTGACTCAAGTTAAACAATTTAAAGGCAATTCTACCAAATACTAATTGAGTGTATGTAAACTTCTGACCCACTGGGAATGTGATGAATGAAATAAAAGCTGAAATAAATCATTCTCTCTACTATTATTCTGACATTTCACATTCTTAAAATAAAGTGGTGATCCTAACTGACCTAAGACAGGGAATTTTGACTAGGATTAAATGTCAGGAATTGTGAAAAACTGAGTTTAAAATGTATTTGGCTAAGGTGTATGTAAACCTCCAACTTCAACTGTATTTCTCTGTTAAACAACGGAAGATGCAGTCTGATGTTAGCCAGAAGGCATTGATGCTAGCTAGCTAACCAGCTATGTTAAGTGTATGGAAGAGGCTAGCTAGCTAGCATCAGCTTTGTAGTGTTTATGCGATGTGGAAACACTCGTTTTAAAATGTTCCTCCATTTGTCTCATTGTTGTCTTTTTTCAAATGCTGTTAATGTCATTTAGTAATTTTAACAAATTTGATCCATGTTTAACGACATCACCTTCCTGATGGCAATGCCTGACGACGTATCCGAAACTGTTTTGCTGACAAGAAGAGGGCGTGGAGTGTTCAAGCGTGGAATGTGTATTGAGAGTATTGGAGTTGGAATTTCAGTTTACTTCCTGAATTAACTGAATTAAAAGGGAATTGAACCCAACCCTGCAGTGCAGTCAGTATACCAAAGTTTAGATGATCTTACTTACAGGAATGTGGTTAGAAGACTTAAAGACCATTGGAAAACCTGAAATAAGAATCAATGGTCAACATTATCTCACTTGTTTTGGATTTGGAGCCATCTGGTATCTGTATCTCAGAAACAAACCCATGGATACAGTATACACACCATTGTATATTTGAATTAAACCAAATGAATAACTGTCTAGCATAAATATAAATTGAGATATTCACTCCACATAATAAGATTAACATCCATCTGTATATTAATTTTTTAGTAAGTCACTTATTTTTCCCCCAATGTCTAGGTAATTCAACATGAACAAGTTGGAGTCACGCATTACCAGGTAAACATTTACTTCATAAAGTTTTACAGTCATTACTAACATTTAAACGGGACCCCATCATGTGGAATAGATCTACAGTGCCTTGCAAAAGTATTCATCCCCCTTGGAGTTTTTCCAATATTTTTGTGTTTCAACCTGCAATTTATATGGATTTTTATTTGGATTTCATGTAATGGACATACACAAAATAGTCCAAATTGGTGTACTGAAATGAAAAAAACTACTTGTTTCTAAATATTCTAAAAAATAAATAACGGAAAAGTGGTGCGTGCATATGTATTCAACCGCTTTGCTATGAAGCCCCTAAATAAGATCTGGTGCAACCAATTACCTTCAGAAGTCCACCTGTGTGCAATTTAAGTGTCACATGATCTCAGTATATATACACCTGTTCTGAAAGGCCCCAGAGTCTGCAACACCACTAAGCAAGGGGCACCACTAAGCAAGCGATACCATGAAGACCAAGGATCTCTCCAAACAGGTCAGGGACAAAGTTGTGGAAAAGTACAGATCAGGGTTGGGTTATAAAAAAATATCAGAAACTTTGAACATCCCACGGAGCGCCATTAAATCCATTATTAAAAAATGTAAAGAATATGGCACCACAACAAACCTGCCAAGAGAGGGCCGCCCACCAAAACTCACGGACTAGGCAAGGAGGGCATTAATCAGAGAGGCAACAAAGAGACCAAAGTTAACCCTGAAGGAGCTGCAAAGCTCCACAGCGGAGATTGGAGTATCTGTCCATAGGACAACTTTAAGCCGTACACTCCACAGAGCTGGGCTTTACGGAAGAGTGGGCAGAAAAAAGCCATTGCTTAAAGCACATGTGTCAAACTCATTCCACGGAGGGCCGAGTGGCTGCGGGTTTTCGCTCCTCCCTTGTCCTTGATTGATGAATTAAGGTCACTAATTAGTAAGGAACTCCCCACACCTGGTTGTCTAGGGCTTAATTGAAAGGAAAAACCAAAAACCTGCAGACACTAGGCCCTCCATGGAATGAGTTTGACATCCCTGGCTTAAAGAATAAAATATGCAAACACATTTGGTGTTCACCAAAAGGCATGTGGGAGACTCCCCAAACATATGGAAGAAGGTACTCTGGTCAGATGAGACTAAAATTGAGCTTTTTGGCCATCAAGGAAAATGCTATGTCTGGCGCAAACCCAACACCTCTCATCACCCCGAGAACACCATCCATGGTGGTGGCAGCATCATGCTGGGGGGATGTTTAACCTCCCGAGTGGCGCAGTGGTCTAAGGCACTGTGTAGCCGGCTGCAACCGGGAGACCAATGGGGCGGCGCACAATTGGCCCAGGGTAGGGGAGGGAATGGCCGGCAGGGAGGTAGCTCAGTTGGTAGAGCATGGCGTTTGCAACGCCAGGGTTGTGGGTTCGATTCCCACGGGGGGCCAGTATGAAAAAAAAAGAATAATGTATGCACCAACTGTAAATTGCTCTGGATTAGAGCGTCTGCTGTAAAATGTAAAAAAAAAATGTAAAAATGTTTTTCATTGGCAGGGTCTGGGAAACTGGTCAGAATTGAAGGAATGATGGATGGTGCTAAAAACAGGGAAATTCTTGAGGGAAAACTGTTTCAGTCTTCCAGAGATTTGAGACTGGGACGGAGGTTTACCCTCCAGCAGGACAATGACCCTAAGCATACTGCTAAAGCAACACTTGAGTGGTTTAAGGGGAAACATTTAAATGTCTTGGAATGGCCTAATAAAAGCCCAGACCTCAATCCAATTGAGAATCTGTGGTATGACTTAAAGATTGCTGTACACCAGCGGAACCCATCCAACTTGAAGGAGCTGGAGCAGTTTTGCCTTGAAGAATGGGCAAAAATCCCAGTTTATAGAGACATACCCCAAGAGACTTGCAGCTGTAATTGCTGCAAATGGTGGCTCTACAAAGTATTGACTTTGGGGGGGGTGAATAGTTATGCACGCTCAAGTTTTCTGTGTTTTTGTCTTATTTCTTGTTTGTTTCACAAGGAAAAATGTTTTGCATCTTCAAAGTGGTAGGCATGTTGTGTAAATCAAATGATAACACCCCCCCCCCCCCCCCCCCCAAAAAAAATAATAATCCATTTTAATTCCAGGTAGTAAGGCAACAAAATAGGAAAAATGCCAAGGGGGGTGAATACTTAAAAAATATATATAAGTATGGATAAGAGCGTCTGCTAAATTACTAAAATGTAAAAATGTAAAATGTACTTTCGCAAGCCACTGTAATACAAGTCAAGGTATGACTTACCTCGAAGTAATGTTTTTGATTCTTCCATTATGGTTCCCTCTGATCCAATGGCATATTTCATTTTTTGCTGAACATTTGATCCAGATACCACTGTGTATATTGTGTACTTTATGTCAAAAGCCACAGGGCCACTGATATCGAAGCCAAGGTAAAATGAGATGTAACCATCCTTCCACACACTGGCCTGTTTCTGAGGACGAATCTCAATCTCTTTGTCTGCCATACGGGCAAATGCCTTATACACTCTGACCACTCCTTTGACACGAAGAAGGTGATCCTGAATCCAGGTGTCCCTGATCTCTGCACTGCCTCTTGTTTTATTGGCTGTCCTTGATTTCCTTTTCAGACGCTCACAGATGTTGTCTATGCTTGATTTGTGAACAAGTCTTTTCAACCCAGCACCTTTACCCAGGTAAAACAAGGGCACAAGTTCCCTAGATTGTAGGTACTTCTTGTATTTGTTGTCAAAGGCCTGCTTCATGCGCTCAACATACTTGTTAAGATCAATGTCATTGGTGACATCCCCCTCTCTTGCCTCCTCGGGCCAAAACAGTAGGAGGACAAGGAGGTAAAACTCTGGGGTCCAAAGTTTTGTCTTTTCTTCCTCCATGAACTTCTGAAGAATGGTTCTAAGTTGTGGTAGAGTTGCGGGTTCTGCAGATGCCACTGGCCCATTGATCTGGATGAAGTTGGCCAAGATGTAATTACAGGCAGTGTTAACATCATCAGGGTTTTCTTTATTGATTATTTTCCACAGCTCTGTGATTTTACTCAAGTTGGACTCACTGGCATTTTGATTGAGAGAGGAGAGGCCAGGAAAGGTAGAGGCCATTTTCTCTTTGAGTGTCTTTAATGGTAGGTCCTCTTTTGGACTGGGGGCACTTGTATACTTGCAAAAACAATCAACAATGTCTCGCTGAAAGTATGTTGGCTGATCCTTCCAGTTCCTGGGCTCAGAGTAAGTGAGGTAACTCTCAAAAAAATTGTAAAATTTATTTTCAACCGCAACTCTGAGGCTGGTGATGAAAGTCTTGTACTTCATGAGCTTTCTGTCCTCAAACAGTACCGAGAGATGTTCAGCTGATATTTCCTGGGTAAGGATTTTCCTCCATTTTGGGTTGAGATTTGTGAGGGAATTATAAACAATGTTAGCAACCTGTAGATAACCAAAGATTCCCCTGTTGTTGAAGGTGTGATACATTTTTGTTGGACTGTCATCCTCCATGTGATTCACTGTTTCCTTTTCAGCCAACTCCTCCTCTTGTTTGAAAGCCTTGATGGCTTTCTCTGCCCAAAACAAAATGTCTCTGGCCCCTGATTTTTCACCTGATTTTCCATTGACTTGTTTACACAAATGGTCCTTGTGAACTTGTCCCAGTGTATCAGCAATGAATGAGTTGGTGGGCACTCTCTCTTTAGCTCTTTCAGCCCAAATCTCAGCTCTTGTAAAATCAGACATTTTGATGTAGTAAAAACGTGCAAGAGATTGAGGGTAGAACGGGTCATGCTTGAATGTTTCTGAAGCGGTTTTCAACACATTTGCACATTCAGGAATGCCTTCATGTTTCTCAATATCTAGAATTAACCTGGAAAACATCTCCTGGCCATTTGAGGTTGTTTCTCTCTTAGTTAACATGTCTTTGAAGAACAGTAACAAGGATGGCTGAATTTGTTGTCTGGTTAAGTACTTCAGAAAGTCCAGTGTTGCTGAGCTCCTAGCTATACCAGCATCTGCCAGCAACTGAACACATTGATGTGCAAGAACTGGGTGTGCTATGCGGACTCTCTTGTCTTCTCCTCCATGTCTTGAGAATGTGACTATGAGATCACTGAAAGGTTGCATGCGTTTCTGAAATGACAGGTTCACACCATAGGGGTCTTGATGACTGAGGAATGCCTCACACTGTGACTGTAAGAGGTAGGAGCCAGGAACATAGGAGTTCACCAGAGCTAAAAATGCAAAGAGTTTGGTGTTGCGGGATGCTTTGTTTTGCTGAAGATATTTGGTGATTTCTTTTCCCTCGTCTGAACAAAATGTTTTTCTCATGTATTCTTCATTGAAATCATGTTGCATTATGTTAAAGCTGTGAAACTTTCCCATCTCGTCTCTGTGGTGCCTCTGTATTTGTTTTTCTGTGCTAACAAGGCTTGTTTTCTCTTTGTCAGAAAGACTTGATTTCAGGAGTAAATCTGCCTCAGTTCTACTCTCATCCTCCTCATCGTCTATGATATAGGCCGAGCGTATGCATTGTAGAATGATGACCACAGGGCATTTAGCACTGATTTTTTGCTCTGTTATTTCTCTGATGAGAAAGTCCTGTAAGGGGTCCCTCAGGTGTTCATTGTCCTGCAAAAGAAGCACTGTATTCTGGTTTTCTGGATCACCGGTTGCAAAAAGTTTGACCACCTGTTTGGCAATAGTCCTAGTGTCAGACAGCGGGTCTTTTTGGACTTGTTTGCCTATATCTTTCTTGTCAGAAGAAGGGTCGACCAGAACAGCACACCTGAGCTCTTTCCTCAGGTCCCAGAGTATCTGCATGGCCAGGGTGGTTCCTCCACTGCCTGGCTGGTGCGACAGCTTAATACTGTTTACACTCCAGCTGCCCTGTCTCTGAACCTTGATGAGTTCCCTCAGCTTTTCATAACCATCTCTTCTGATCAATCCAATGTCATGTTCTTCTCCTGTAGGCGTGGCACTGCTATCAGAGGCCCTCTCATCAGCCAGGTAAAAGTTCATCCATTTAGGTGGGGTTCCCTTGTAAAAATCTGACTCAGTCTCCAAAGCAACTGCTGGGTCGATTTGCTCTCCTTCAAACTCATTTGCACTCAAGACATCTAGAAATGAGAGTGAGTCCATGAGTTCACTGTCCATGAGAATTCCCCCCCCTCCAGCATTGGGCAGGGTTGGTATTACTTTGCCTGCCATGACAGGTAGCTATGTTGGTACACTCTCACAGTGGACGGAAAAACAGATTTGCATCTGTGTTATCTGATGATGCCTGCAAAGGCTGAGAATTCCTGTGGCAAGGAGGGGGTAACCTTTCCCCTAGACTATTACTAAGCACAGGGCAGATAAGCCTGGAATATCAACGACTCTAACTATTTTATTGCCAATATTTTATCTTAGCAAATCACATGACCGCGAGGCATGGCCAGGAATCAGAGACTGTGCTTGGAGGCTGTGTTCAGAGGGCGGTTCAGAAAGAGTTGATTGATTAGAGAGAAAGCCAATGGTTGTGGGTCAGGACTTTGTTCCTTGGTTTCTATTGGGTTTAACGAAGACCAAGTTTGAATTTAGCTTTGTTAAACAAAGACAATGTTATTTTTAAGTGCCGCTGTCGTTTGTTCCAGTTGGCCTTGGTTATTTTCACCATGTTTTGTCATGTCCAATCTACAGGGAGAATGTTCAGGAAACAAACAACATTTCAGTCAAAAGAAGATTAAGTGTGATGAATGAGAACCAGGGATTGGTAAAAATGACGAAATACAATTACAAAATACAAAAAAACATAAAGATCAAGGGACAATTTCAGCTTGATCTGAGACAGTTAAAACACTGCTGAATTACGCATTTTTCAAACAAAATACCATACTGTTTTTTGTATTTTAAAGTACAAAAAGACATTTGCAAGTAGCTGGCCTGAACAGCAACAACATTCTCAGTAACGGTTACAAAAACATTTTTACTTGCTATGACTTTGATATGTTGTCGTTTATCTACCTTAGTTGAGCAAGTCACTCTGGATAAGAGTGTCTGCTAAATGACCAAAATCTAAATGTATAAGTGAAAATGAACACACCAAAAATGAACTGCAAAGCACACTGGGTATTATTTTTGGGCATTGTTTCGGGGGCGGAGCTCATTAGAATAATACTCAGCATGCATTGCAATTGTTCACTTTTTACATATACATGTATATTTGTCTTGTAGCAGAAGTTCTTATTACACCATAGTGCTATTAGAATTCTGATACCAATGCAGGGTGAAAGGAGGGCCACAAAATGTAAACCACTATAAAAAAAATGGTAAATAAACATATTTCGCATTTTGAAAATACAAATCACAGTATTTTGAAAATACCAAATATCAAATACATTGGAGTGTAGTTCAGCCCAGTGTAATTCAAATGACAAAATACTCTGAAGTAATTAAAATACGTATTTCTCTGATGAAAACAAGTATATGTTGTTTTTATCAATGGGGACAATTTCAGCTCGATCTGATACAGTTAAAACACTGCTGAATTACGCATCTTACAAACTAAATACCATACATATACTGCAAAAGCATACACTTACAAAGTTATTTCCTGGTGAATGGGATAGAAGGCATTTTGAAACCCTTTGCCCTGAATCCTCACCTATTGTATATAGCTACTGTAAGCTGTCTGTATTTGTTGGTCTGTTGCCATAGAAGCCAGGAAAGCCAGCAAATATGACCCCATTGGCCCCATGTGGGTATTTGGTGGGCAAGGTGGGCACTGGCCATCCCACATCAAGCCCAACTAGCCCAACACAGGCTAGCCCACACCAGGCCCACACCAGTCCAACACAGGTCATCCCACACCAAGACAACACAAAGCCCACACCAGCCCAACACAGGCTAGCCCACACCAGGCCCACACCAAGACAACACAGGCTAGCCCACACCAGCCCACACCAGCCCAACACAGGCTAGCCCACACCAAGTCCACACCAGCCCAACACAGATTATCCCACACCAAGACAACACCAAGCCCACACCAGCTCAACACAGGCTAGCCCACATCAAGTCTACACTAGCCCAGCACGGGCTAGCCTACACCAGCCCAACACAGGCTAGCTATCACCAAGCCCACATTAGCCTTACACGGGCCAGCCGAGACCAGCCCAACACAGGCTTAGCCCACACCAAACCCACATCAGCCCAACACATGCTAGCCCACAAAAACCCACACCAGCCGAGCACAGGCTAACCAGCACGGGCTATCACACCCCACATGAAACATTTGCAAAAACACTACAGTGAATACTGTAGTATTTACTGTAGTATTTACAGTTAACTATAGTATAAATGCTGTAATAAAATAAAACTGTAGTATATACTATAGTAATTAATGTAGTGTTTTTGCAGATTGTAGTATTTATTGTAGTGTTTTTGAGGACTGTAGTATACTGTAGTATTTACTATAGTGTTTTAGCAGACATTATTGTAGTATTTACTGTAGTGCTTTTGCGGACTGTAATATAATGTAGTATTTACTAATGTGTTTTTGTTTTATTATCTTTGACATAGAATTGGAGGCGTTCTCATTTGCTCTTTTAGTATTACTGGAGAAATACTAAAAGAGCAAGTTTTCCATAACCTGTAGGTAGGTAGGACTTTGGTCTGAACAGATTGTTCAGCGCTTCTGCTCTTTTCTATGACCTGATTGGACCAAATTGGGATATGGGGAGTGGAATGGGCAGGGTATATGCTAATTAAATACTGTAGTATTTACTATAGTTTTTAAAAAAGTGTAGTGGTTTTGCAGACTGTAGTGTTTTTGCAGACATTACTGTAGTATTACTATAGTATTCTACAGTATACTACAACATTCTATAGTAAGTACTACACATGAGGGATACTACGGTGTGTAGTGTATTATTCTACAGTACAGTCGCATCGGTTCAATGTGGGCAGCCTACATGGGGCCAATATTTTAGCCCGCATTGGGGTCCACATTGTGCCCAGTGTGGACATGTTTCCTGGGACTCCTACTCCCATGGAATAGTATGCAGGAGGTGGATCCCACACTCTACACTGTGTGTTCATTTCCATCAACTCTGTTCAAAGAGGGCAGGTTCACAGTGATATAAAACTCAGTGCCATTCTCAATCATTAAAACTCACAGGGAACTGATTATTCATGTAATTGCCATTGTATGTGTGCATGTGGTCGTCAGAATGTATTCAGTATTCCATTCGCCACTAAAAAAAACTTTTATTAAAACTGGTCTAAACTCCACCACCGTGTTAACATTCACTTCCTCTCTACACCTTGCCAGTGCCAGTGACTTAGTTCAACCATATTTCAATGAACTTCTCTTTAACACTCTTTACTCTAGATAATCACTCTATCTGCTCTGTCCTTTCTCTATTTTAATTCTGGATACTTACTTTGCCATCTCCTCTCTCCGGAATAGAGATTATCTTCTGCTCTGTCGTCGCCAAACGGATCCCGCTGCACAGAGACATATTTACTTTAGTCTTTACTTGAACCACTCCTACTTATAGAAATACAGGATGCAGTAGGCGGATCCTACACTCTACATTAGAGATTCATACCAAATGGCACCCTATTCCCTATATAGTGTACTACTTCATTGGGCTCTGGTCGAATGTTGTACACTATATAGGGAATAAGGTGTCATTTAGGACACCCACTGGGTGTGTTACTTCCTCAGGGAAGTTCACTCAAAATAGTACATACGAAATAGCTTTCTCCGAAACACAGAAACCTGTGATTTAGCGTCTAAGCAGATGGGTGTTAGACCTGTTGCGCCTCAATATGGGGAATGCAAACCTTTCACTGACACCATGTAATGTAACTATACATCCCCAGTCTCACAACACCATGCAATGGAACTATACATCCCCAGTCTCACAACACCATGTAATGGAACTATACAACCCCAGTCTCACAACACCATGTAATGGAACTATACAACCCCAGTCTCACAACACCATGTAATGGAACTATACAACCCCAGTCTCACAACACCATGTAATGGAACTATACAACCCCAGTCTCACAACACCATGTGATGGAACTATACAACCCCAGTCTCACAACACCATGTAATGGAACTATACAACCCCAGTCTCACAACACCATGTAATGGAACTATACAACCCCAGTCTCACAACACCATGTAATGGAACTATACAACCCCAGTCTCACAACACCATGTAATGGAACTATACAACCCCAGTCTCACAACACCATGTAATGGAACTATACAACCCCAGTCTCACAACACCATGTAATGGAACTATACAACCCCAGTCTCACAACACCATGTAATGGAACTATACAACCCCAGTCTCACAACACCATGTAATGGAACTATACAACCCCAGTCTCACAACACCATGTAATGGAACTATACAACCCCAGTCTCACAACACCATGTAATGGAACTATACAACCCCAGTCTCACAACACCATGTAATGGAACTATACAACCCCAGTCTCACAACACCATGTAATGGAACTATACAACCCCAGTCTCACAACACCATGTGACGGTGTGATCTAAAACCACAGATACAATAACTGCAATTAATGTCTTTCATTCTTCTTTATTAGAAAATTACACTATAACCTCTTGCTTCTCTCCCTCTCCCTGTGTGTGTGTGTGTGTGTGTGTGTGTGTGTGTGTGTGTGTGTGTGTGTGTGTGTGTGTGTGTGTGTGTGTGTGTGTGTGTGTGTGACAGAACCCCACGTTAACAGTCCTCCATAGCCAATGAGGGCATGTTTTCTGGGAACACCGCAGATTGAAGGTTTTGCTTTTCTCCGAGGCTATCGAGAGGCTATTGGGTGCAAACGATATAGCTCTGTCAAAAAATATCTTACATTTATGAGTTGTAACAATTATAAATATGTTATTTTAGAGGCAATAATAAACATACCTTCTGTCTGGTCTATCCATACACACACTGGACTTTGGAGAAACCTTGACTATTCATTCCAACACACCAACTGAAGCTTCTTTTTGTGTATCAAACGGAGATACTTGTCCAGGCATGATTACAAAACAGCAGTGACTACGGTTCCAACTACTACACACACCTTATTTAGCTTTGATTTCCTGTAAAGGGAAGGACACAGAGAACAGGTAAAACAGGTCATACATTCACCCTGCCCAATGTTCCTGTGTCCTGCCCATAATTGGATTTCCTCGC